CTCTGCAAAGTGAAGACAAAGAGGGATGCCCACAGCTCTCTTTCTCTCTCTCTCTCTCTCTCTCTCTCTCTTCTGAGACATGAAGATGACCCTCACCAAGAAATGAACTTTCTAGCACCATGGCCTTGGACTTTCCAGTCTCTAGTAATGCAGGGAATAAGTGTTGTTTAATCCATAGAGTCTGTGGTATTTTGATATAGAAGCCCTGGCAGACAGCAGTACCCGAGTTTGGGATCCCTGGGACTGACTTCTGGATTTGAAAACTGAATTTCAGTCTTAGATTGAAATTGAAATCTGGCTTTATCACTTCCTTAATGATCTCAGACTTATGCCTTTTAGGTTCACAGTTTGTAAGCATAATACTTATTCATTTTGAGGATTTCGTACAAGATGTGAAGGTATTGCCGTTGGCAAATGGCAGCAAGGAGTGTTGACAAGTTAGAATGGAATCAGGAATCTGCCTCTTAAAAGCCACCATTCCAACCAACATTGGAATACTATAGAATAATAGAGCTCACCGAGTACGATCAGACAAGATTCTTTTTAATAACAGAAAGAAAGGAGAGATCAGACCGATTAAGTAACAACCACTCACTAACTTTTGTTAATGTCTATTACAATTCTTTGGCATTTTTTTTTTAGATTTCAGTGCTTTTCATAATTGCAGAAGCATTAAGACTTGGATTCAAAAACAAAGGAAACATCAGAAAATGAATAGCTAATTATAACTACAAATTTGAATAATTTATGTCCTTGTACTAAAAATGTCATAGAACTCCCACAGAAAGTCTTCAGGTTTCTTCCCTATTTTTTATGAGGTATTGAATTTGAGAAAAGTGTATTTTTCAAAAAAAAACATTTGTGGCACTTTATCTCTTCATAACTGCTGTCAAAATATTTGTAAAGAATTGTTACCAACATGGAATAGCATCAGTAAACAAGTTAATTTTAAGTAAACAGTTTATGACTTTACAACTTAGAAAAGCAGGAAAACAAATGAAAATTTCCTTTAAGAAGAAACAACTCTCCCAATTCACTTTGTACATGTGTGCGCTTGGTGCATGCTTTTGATTTTTCACTCAAGCCTGGTGCTCTTCCACTTGGGCCATATCTCTACTGCTTGCATTTTGATAGATAATTGGAGGTAAAGGTCTGTCCGATGTGTCTGCTTGGGATGGCTTTGAACTGTGATGCTCAGATCCCAACCTTCTGCATAGCTAGGATTACCAGTGTGAGCCACCAGCACCTGGCTCAGTTCACTTTTTTTTAAAGCATATCTGAACATCACCCCTATGAACCCAAAACTGAATGGCCTTAGACAGGCCACAGAGACCAGAGTTTTTGCTTCTCAACTCAATATCTCAGGCCTTAAACCTGACACTACCAATTATTAAAGTTTGTCTTGAAAGAGTCAACTTGTAAAAATAGAGTTTGAGAAAACTGATGTTTTCTTTTCAAACTCAGAAGCTTCTAAATGATCCTTTGAATTTTTAATATTTTTAGATTGCTTAAAATATTTAAAAGGCAAGATATTAGGAGGAATTCAAAATGTATTGTTCTCATTTCAGCCTGCAATGATTCTCATGACTCTAGCTGCTCAGACAACCAAAACTGGATAAAACATTTACAAGTTGTCTTCCAGAAGTGCTAAACTCTAGCCCATTCTCCTGTTAACTCAACTTTTTTCTCTTCTCTTGTTCTTGGTTGATAAAAGGACTTGGCCCATCATGGAGTATTTAAACCTGAAATCTAGATGACCAGACAAGAAAAAAAGTTTTGTTGAGATGTGTTTAAAAAAAAAAAGAGAAAATAACGAATCAACAGAAAATTGAAGGAAGCAGGGCACACATAAGCAAAGAATTAAATTCAACTCAATAACATTCTATTTTATTGAAATTGTTTGGTAATCAGATTATTTTTTGAAAATCCTAAAGCACAAAGCTAGAATAACAGGGTCAACCATACAAGCAAGCATCAGCTAGGAAAATAACGACAAACTCATGACCACCGACCTCATAGAACAGAGCTCCTAACCCCACATTAGAAATGTAGCAGAAATTCTCATTTGCTTCAAGTCAGATTTTGGACTCAATTTAGAGTTGGCTGTAGACTGAACACTCTTGTTTTTTCACATTCAACAGACAGATATGCGGATGGGTGCCAGTGGCTTACTCCTATAATCCTAGCTACTCAGGAGGTTGAGATCTGAGGATTATGGTTTGAAATCACCAAGGCAGAGAAGTCCATGAGACTCTTACTTCCAATTAACCAGCAAAATGCCAGAAGTGGAACTGTGGCTCAAGTGGTAGAGCACTAACTTGGAACAAAAACATGAAGTGAGACTGTGCTTAGCCCTGAGTTCAAGCCCCAGTACCAGTACAAAAGAAAAAACAAACTAAGTCTGTTGGCATCTCAATGTTGTACATTCTATCTCCCAGAACTGCCAGATATAAATAATGTTTGTCATTTTACCTACCTAGACTCTGTTATCTTGTTCAGCAGCCTAAAGTGACTAACACATTGGCAAACTAGACAGAACTCACTGACAAAGTACACAAAAGAGAATAAGCAATGCATAGAGAAATATCAAACCAGACTCAATCTCACCTGCAATCACATGACACCAGCTCTATAAAACACCAACAGCAGTGCAAGCCCAATCTTGGGGGAAGAAGACTTCTCAGTGATAGGCTAAGCCATCTGCCCAATGATTAAATAAGCCAGACCAGTGGGAAACCTGACTTCAAGAGACTCCAGAAGACATCGCAAGCTTCTGAAACTCCTGAAAGACTATCACTCAGAATTGAAAGAAGTCATGTTTCTTCTTTGTGGATTATTTTTTCTATGAGGAAATGTTTACAGTATGGCTTTGGGCCTGTTCTACAATTAGAAGCCTGTTATCTGGAGAGATTTCTGTGTATTGCTGATCATCAGAAGCCATAGGTTAGTGTTTTCAGAAGCTATATTCACGAGAAACTTATTAGGATCCTGGGAATACACTTCCAGAGATTGATCAATGATGTGTCTGTCACTGTGTGTGTGAATGTGTCTGTGAGAGAGAAAAAGAGAGCGATCATCTCTGCATTGTTATAGCCAAGTGGTGTTCAAGTGAAGGGAGCAATCATCCAATCATGTTCTAGCACCCCAGAATGGCTTTGGCGAGCAGGCCCACTCATGAAGGCAGCAAGAAGTCATACAATGCCTGATCCAGAAGCTAGGTCATACTTGGAACTGACCTTGTCTCTGTAGCAGCTGCTATCACTTCAGAACTGTCACATAAGCAAGCACACTGTCATGGAGAGGGAAGGGTGCCTCCATTTTAATTTGACAGCATACATAAATAAAACCTCAGTGGGGCTGAGAAGTTTAGGCTCTGCATGTAGAGAAGGTTATGGATATAATGGAGATGTAAATGGACATAGACAGGGGAAAGGAGACTTGAAGTAGAGACACAGAAGGGACTGGACCTGGAGATGGGCAAGGGGTAGACGGAGGTGATACCGGCATGGGAGAGAAGTGGTTGGAAGAATGGTGAAGGCATACAGCAGAAACAGAAACTCAGTGTGGACACTGATGGACAGAGTTTGGGGAAGAGAGGAAGAGGTAGACAGTAATTATCTGGTCCAACTGCTGGGGCAGACAGAAATGTTGACATCAGCACAATAAATTCCCAACTGCCCCGGCACAGTATGGTGTCAGATCTGATCTTCAGAGTGTTTTCCAAATAGGAGTCAATGAATGTGTGGTTTGGGGCTATGTTTGGAGAAATATGATAGTGATCTATAATGCTGGCATAGATAAGCTCAAAGTAATGACCATAGGTGTTATTTTTTTGCTTCGGTCTTCAGTTTTCAAGGTGACTCAAGAAAGGAAAATTATAAGTATGGGGGGGACAAAATGGCTCTTACATGGAGGGAATAATGGATCACCTGTGCATGCAAGATATTGACCCGTTTCTGAGCCTTTTAAATGGCATTGTTCATGCCTGAATAAATAGTGTAGGAGAAACACATGGATTTTAGCCTCTCATGTGGACTTCACTCTCAGTATAGAATCCACTTCCAGGTGTGCAAGCCATAGATCATGATATAACCTGTGCTGATCAGTTCATCATCATTAAATAATACTGAACTATTCTTCCACTTTTTTTTTTTCATCAGGCGATGTCTAGGCTATTCAAGTGAAACCAGAAAAGCTAAGGCTCTGCTAGTTTTGATTAAGCATGCTTGCAGAGTGCTTAGCACTGTGCACAAGTTCTTAGCAGTTACAAGAGAACTCAAACAATTAGCCATTGCCTTGAAAATGTAACGATGTTTACAGCTTCCGGAAGCTCATGGAAAGGTGAGGCACAAAGAAGCAAAAATAACTGAAAACATTCTGAGCTTTGCCCTGTTTGCTATAGGACCTGGAGAAGCTCTGGGTGGCTGAGTTCTACAGCAGAAGGAGGGGATGGCCTTGAGAGAGGGGTGTGGGTCCCTGGTGGCATTCTGGGAGCTGAAAGACAGGCTCCCTTTTGTACATGTGGTCAGAAATACCAACAGAAACGAGAGACTGTAGAACAAACCAAAGCAGGAATGAGGCCACGGAACAAGGGGGAAAGGGGAAAGGTGACTTTCAATATCTGTAGCCGCCATCCATCACCTGAACATGTGGAACAATTTAAAGAAATATTTAAACAGAAGTCACCTTGACAATAAGCCGTTGGCATATAAAAATCACAATTGTACATAGCTATTGACAATACTGTATTTCTAGAAATTTTTCTTAAGCAGAAAAATCCACAAGCACATGCCCAGTGTATGCTCAAGGACTTTCATGGTGATGTTTTGTATAATATGAACTACCTGAAAACCACCTATGAAGCTACTAAGCCAACCGGTGGGATTGCCGTTATCACTGATCAGGACGGGTGATGAGGGAGGAGGCCTTCCCTGCATGGTGTGCTCAGTGGTTTATTCACTCGGACTTCGCAAGCCTGCAGCTCTACATGGTTTTCTTACCTTGGCCAGATGGGAGTTGATCCATTTTGTGAATGTGCGTTTCTGTACAACCTCTTGCTCATCTGCAGTGAAAACACACGATTTGGTTAGGTGACACAGCATTCAAGGACATGTCCCAAAAAGTCAGTTGTTCAACTTTAGAAGTAATCGCAAATGCATTTCATCTTCGAATTCATGCGATAAAGTATTGTTTTAAAGGCTTGATACTAACACCGAATATATAAGCAATTGGAGTAGCCCTCTGGAAACTATCGGTGAATACTTTTTGCAATACACAAGCCCTATACTTATGAAAAGTTTATTCATCAATTACCCTCAGCAAATCTGTTTTTTTTTTTAAAAAAAAAAAGTGGGTTGAGACTAATTGCTAAGGTTTGTGCTAGGTATAAGTGGTGACAAAGAGATGAACAGAATAGAATTTTTGGCATGAAAACAAGAGAAGCAGAGTTAGACAAACAATGATGTATGTGCAGTAGAGCATCGCGCAGTGCTGCAGTAAGTCAGAGGTGTATACATGAAAGATTACAGGAACATAACCCAGGAGTGAGCTGGGCTGAACACATCCTATGCTGACCACCCCCCACCCCGCCTCGCCCCTGCAGCTCACACTTGGGTTATAGGCAGAGGGTGGGAAAAACAAGAGACTTATTTCTGCTGACAGAATAAAACTGAGGTGGTAGGAGGCCACATCTGTGATCTAAATTACTCCAGCTTCACTGGCTAGAGGGCAACATTCTCCTTCAGGCCTTGAAGGACCAACAGCTGGGAAGAGGGTGAAAGTTTATTTCAAACATTAGATTTGGGGTTCAAAGAAAGTACTCCAAAACAATAGAAGATCCCAAGTAGCAAAAACAGTCCTTAGCAGGAAGAACAGTGCTAGAACATTAAAACCTAACTTCAAACTTGATTACAAAGCCATGGTAATAATTTAAAAAAAAAACAGCTTGATCCTAGCACAAGAATGCATCTGAGGACCAGTGGAATAGAATCGAAGGCCCAGAAATGAACCCACAGACCTATAGCCACCTGTTACCTGATATGGGAGCCAAAAACACAGGATGAAACAAAGACGGCGTCATCAACAAATGGAGCTGGCAGAACTGGCTATACATGTGCAGAAAGCTGAAGCTAGATCCTGATATATCATCCTGCACCAGAATCAATTCCAAATGGATCAAAGACCTCAATGTAAGGCCAGATAACATGAAAATACTGCAGGAAGGGATAGGGGAAACATTAAGGCCCCTTGGCATAGGTCAAAACTTCCTAAGTAAAGATGGAGAATCACAACAAATCAAAGAAAGGCTGTATAAATGAAATTGCATCAAACTGAAGAGTTTCTGCATGGCAAAGGACATAGTTAGCAAGATAACTAGAAAGCCCATAGAATGGGAGAAGATCTTTAGTAGCTATGCATCAAAGAAGGGCCTCATATCTAAAATATACTTAGAGCTCAAAAATTAAACCCCTCAAAAGCAAATTCTCAAAGAAACAGCAATCCAATTAGTAAATGAGTTAAAGACTTAGAGAGACTTCTCAGAAGAAGAAATAAGGATGGCCAATAGACACATGAAGAGATGTTCAACATCTCTATCCATAAAAGAATTGCAAATCAAAACAACATTGAGATACCACCTCACCCCAATTAGAATGGCCATTATCAACAAATCTAGCAATAATAGATGCTGGCGGGGCTGTAGGTGGGAATGTAAACTTATTCAACCACTCTGGAAAGCAGTGTGGAGGTTCCTTAAAAGGCTAAACATAGAACTTCTCTATGACATAGCAATCTCACTCCTGGGCATTTATCCAAATAACCACAAACCAAGCATGCTAAATCTACGAGCATGACCATGTTCATTGCAGCATTGTTTACTATAGCCAAGATATGGAATCAACCCAGATGCCCCTCAGTGGACCAATGGGTCAAGAAAATGTGGTATATATACACAATGGAATTCTATGTTTCCATCAGAAAGAATGATATTGCTCCATTTATAAGGAAATGAAAAAAACTTGGAAAGAATTACATTAAAGTGAAATAAGCTAGACCCAAAGAAACATGGTTTGCCTCATTTGTAGTAATTTTGTGAATCTGAGTGGCTAGGAAGTAGATTAATAAAACTAAAACTTGCAGTCTACAAGACATTTCATATCAAGAAGACAAGGACCAGGTAGGTGCCAATGGATCGTGCTATAATCCTAGTTACTTGAGAGGCTGGGAATGAGAGGATCATGGCTTGAGGCCAGTCACAACAGAAAAGTTCATGAGACCCCTTCTTGTCATCCCAAACTATGAGGGAGACTGAAATTGGGAGGATCGCAATCCTAGGCAGAAACATCCATGAGATTCCACCGGCATGGTGGGAATCTTGATAAGCCTACCCAGCCTGCTATTCTAGTCTGGATGGGAAGCCTAAAGAAGGTAGATTCTGGCTTAGGTGCACCGTCAGTTGGCAAGAGAGATATTATCTTTAAAATAACCAACAAAAATAGGACTAGCAGCGTGGCTCAAGTAGTTGAGCACCAGCTTGGCAAGTATGAAGTCCTGGGTCCAAGCCCCAGTACTATCAAAATAAACATTTTTAAAGAGACAAGTATGGGTTCAAGGAGCTGAACATTAGCTCATGGGATTTCAGGAAGACTTTGCATCATCTTTGCTATTTCTTTTCCATTACATGCACTGTCCTGTCTCACCATTGCATGTAGGATAAATGGAAAACAGATATCTTCCTTTCACATCAACAGGTATGTAGATCCAGACTGATCACCCAGGGGCCTCATCTATACCTGAGCCAGTAGCAGATTGCACAATCCAGAACTTGGAGCTGGATGCCCAGTGCAAAGCTGGAGGAGATTCTTGCCCTCCTGAGAGGGGATTAGAGGATAGACTGTAAGTTATGGCCACAAAATCCACTGTCCCAGGATGTCCCCACCCATGCAATGTGACTTTGCCCTTCCTTCCAACAAGGGGTAGCATTGATTTCCCCTTCCTTTAAATCTGATCTCATCGTGTGCCTGCTTTGATTAATAATGCAGCAGAAATGACTTTCTGTCATCTGACGCTAGGCTTCAAGAGACCCGGCAGCTTCTGTTTTATTTGTCTGGAACACTGTCTGAAGAGCTACCATACAAGGAAACGAGTTTATTTTGGAGGATGAGAGTCCACATGAAGAGCTGGACCAGTCTCCAGATGAGTGGAGTCCTTGTTGATCTTTCCAGTCAGTCCTGCAGAAAAACTCAGCACAGGTTCATGTTGGGCCGATGGGTCCTAAGCTCCAATTAGGAAGAAGTTCTGAAGTTCCACCTCACAGTAAGTTAATAGTGCATTTGCACATCTCAAAATAGCTAGGACAATGGATTTGTAAGGCACTCTTTATAGGGAAGCTATGAAAGACAATGCCTATGGTCATTATCCTTAACCTTATTTGATGTGTACAAGCCTCAAACATCACCTCATAAATATACAAGAATCCTATGTGCTAATCAAAACCAAAGTTAGCTCAAGAATGAGGCTTACAAGGCACAATGGTGCCTGGAGAGTTATGGAATAATAAGTAGAGTTATTAAAAGTTAGTGTTTTATTGAAACCTAGCAGATCTGCAAATGGATTGCTTAATGAATTTCCCTGTGCCCCTACTGTGTGCTGGTCATGTTGGTGGGGCCTGCTGTGAATGCAAACTGAAAAGATGGGTTTTCTCCCTGGAAGACCAGAGAGAAGAGGGAAATCAAAAAGAATTACAACACAGCCCAGATTACATGAATTCAGAAACAAACAACTGAGCACACTGACAAGAACTACATTGACAGGTGAAGAAGACTACAGTCATGAGATGAATGTCAACAGGAATGTGAATGATATGAAAGCCATATTTGCTGGGACAAACTGCTGTTCCAACACCTAAGGTTTATTCCCTACTAAATCCCACATAACTACTCACAGTAAAATACTATGCGGGCCTCTGACCTCAATGAATTGTCTTTCTAGTCAGCACCGATGTCATAGAAGAGCTTCAAGTTAGGGCTGCATGAACTTGGCGCACATAAAAAAATCACTTCATTAAACAGTGGGCAACTCCTGATTTTGCAAGGAAAATACAACAGTGAACTTTTTTTTTCTATTGTGAGCTCTGAAAATCCCAGTGCAGCAGAAGAAGACTATTGAAAATTTCCCAAATTCCACTTTCATATTAACCTTTCATTTCAACCTGAAACTGTACTTCAATGCAAGAACTTCAGTAAATCAAACCACAGCATTTAATTTTGCAGTACAGAAAGAACATAGAGAACAGGTATCCATGCTCATGAACTTGACTAAAATTCAGTATGGGCTTTTTAAAGACATAGTTCTCCCAAAAATATGTGACTTTATCCCAGGCAATACTTTAAATGTTTATTATTTTTCATTAAATTACTATCTATGTCTTAAGCAAGTTCAAGAACGTCATCCTGGCCGGGCGCCGGTGGCTCATGCCTGTAATCCTAGCTACTCATTAGGCTGAGATCTGAGGATCACGGTTCATAGCCAACCTAGGCAGGAAAGTCCATGAGACTCTTATCTCCAATAAACCACTAGAAAACCAGAAGTGGTGCTGCGGCTCAAGCAGTAAAGCATTCGCCTTGAGCTAAAGAGCTGAGGGATAGCGCCCAGGCCCAGAGTTCAAACCCCACACAGACAAAAAAAAAAAAAAAAGAATGTCATCCTGTATTTTCACACTTTCAAATTCTGTATTTTACAGTACTGATAATATTTCTTATTCTCACCTTCCGATCTAAACTTCTTTTTTCTCTACATGCATTTTAAATCATTTATCTGAACACATATCCAATAATTTGACAGAATCTTGCCTGCATTTAATTTTTTTGAAATATTTTTGTGCTGGGACTGAGGTTTTGTGCTCTTGCTTGGATTTTGCTCAAGGCTGGCACTCTAACACTTGAGCAGATTCCACTCCTGGCTTTTGGTTGGTTAACTAGAGAGATTTGTCTGCCTGGGCTGGCATTGACCCAATATCCTGGCTCTCAGCCTCTTGAGTGGCTAGGATTTCAGGCATGAGCCAAC